CACACACACACACACACACACACACACACACACACACACACACACACACACACCTCTCGAGCTGTATGGCTTGTTACATGCTTTGAACACCTTTTGTATTCACCACTGTCCTTGATGGCTCTGCTGCAGGGAGCTGGAGAATAAAGAAAGCTTTCTTGTGTGCTGAGTTAGATTTCCCACAGGCTGGCTTTTCCTGGGATGTGGAATGTTGGACTTTTCCTATGCTGGTTGTGGTGAGGTCCCAGTGTTTGCTGAATGCTCCTAGAACCTTAACATACTTTGTTCTCCCTGATGAAAAGAGCTTCTCTAAAGCAGGCAGCATCCACAGGAAAGGGATGAGGTATAACTACAGAAAGGAGGAGGATCAGACAACCCTTGAGAGAGACTCATGCCAAGAGCGTCCTGAGCCTCAGGGATCCTGTATTCTAATCTGAAAAGTGGAGAGAATTTTTTTTTTTTTTTTTGCGGTACGCGGGCCTCTCACTGTTGTGGCCTCTCGCGTTGCGGAGCACAGGCTCCGGACGCGCAGGCTCAGCGGCTCCGCGGCATGTGGGATCCTCCCGGACCGGGGCACGAACCCGTGTCCGCTGCATCGGCAGGCAGACTCTCAACCACTGCGCCACCAGGGAAGCCCAGAGAGAATATTTAACATCACAGGGTACTTTCAGATAATGTGTGTTAAGCATTCAACACGTAGGAAATACTCCATAGTGGTAGTCATAAAGACGATTATTAGCTGCCCTCTCAGCGGTTTTCCCTTTCCACCCCCATCCCAGGGCAGAGGATCAGGAAAGTGGGCAGTGGTGTAGGTGTCTAGCTGGGAGGGGTGGGGTGGGAAGAGATTGCAGATGAAGAAATGCCGCCCCTGCCCCTCCTCGGGAGTTCTAGCTTCAGCCCTGTTTTGCAGATCTCTGTGCCACTGTCCCCAGGTGGATCCCCTGGTGAACACTCCACTCCACCCCCTCCACCCATTTCCCACCTGGGAATCTGACTTGAATCTTTTGTCTGGAGGCTCGATTTCCCAGCAGTTATCACAGCATGGGATCTCTACCTGCAGGGCGACCACTCCCACATGTGGAAGGATCCAGAAAACCACCTCCAGACACAGCTTCCCACCCCGAGACTGCAGCTTAAGGGGGCAGTGCTATAAAAGGCCACGCTGGTTATGGGCTGTCGGCCTCTCCCCTCAAACCGCCCCCAAGACCACAGGCATCTCAGCCAGGCCAACCCTGCTTTCTTTTCCTCAGAGTGGCTGTAACTACCATCCACACATTTGGGTTTGCTCTTTTGCCAATTTCTCAGTCCTTTCACGCCTTTTGAGAGGATACTACCAGTCATCCGATTCCCACCCTCCAGCTACCTGGAATTGGGACTGGGCGATAAATTACAGAGCCAAATGCGTGGACATGTGACGCAGACTCGGCCAATCACCATCACCTCATCCTCAGCCACAGTAATTGGCTCTAGGGCTGAATACGTCACTCACACCCAGCGAATCAGAGCCCTCCTACGGAATTTCCGCCCTTTTTGTCTACTCTTTCATTTTGGCTCGTCCTTAACTGGGATGGCGTCGAGCTGGGGTTACCTGAGCTCATGTCCTTGTCCCCTGACACGCGGGAAAAGGAGACCGACACCAAAAGAGAATATGCTGAGTCGTTGCTTTAGTTCTTGAATCCAGTGGTGCCTGAGGCCACGTCTGTAGCTGCCGTTTGTTACCTGAACCAGTAAGTTCCACACTCTGCTTAATGATTTGCGCTGTTTCTGTCATTTCTAACCTTTAAAGTTGTGATTAATACAAACGTGTTCCCCATGCAGTTCTCCAGTGCAGGTGTTGATATGTCTCTATCCATTTAACCTCTGATAATAAACAAATGTTGGCTGGCCCCCCAGGTCTTTCAGGCTCTGTCCTGTGTGATGAACCCTTTCTTCTTCACTCTGCTTACAGCATTGCTGTCTTTGCCATTCATTATTATTATTATTATTATTAAAGTCATATAAAGTTCTGATTGATGATTTAACAGGTTGTTTTCTGCAAAAGATAGCAGACTTCTTCAGGATGATGTTTACATTTTTAAAAACATCTCTTTCAAGATGACCTTCATTCTGAACACATATTCAATAAATAATATTAATTAAATAAGAAACATTTTTCCAAAACATAGAACCGAACCCACTGCCTCCTCTAAACAGTATCACATTCCCTGGTGGTCAAGCCCTTGGCTGGTGGCGATCATTTGATGCTCATATTCTTGGGGTGGAGTGGCTGAGCAGAGGTACATGTGGAAAAAAGCCAGAGGAAGAGATGTTTGCACAACTTCTCTAAAATGAAAATTGTCTTTGGAAAGCTCCGGTAAAGCACACGTTCGTCGTTGTTTTTCTGACTTGCTGCAGGACCAGAGTGATTGTGAGACAGCAGACCCTGGTTCAGCTGGAAGAAAGGAGCAGGGTCTGAGATGGGGGAAGGTCGGTGGCACAGAAAGAACCCATGGCTGAACCTTTGACGTCTTCTTGGTCTGTCTGTGGAAAGCCAAAATTTTCTGATTTGAGATCCGTTTTTGCATCTACTTTCTTACTGAGGGAGACAGAGCTTTTGATGCATTTAATACAGGCAAATTCTTTTTAGATGGCCAAAACAATAGATACAGTTTAAACTTTCTTGATCTCCTGAGCAAACATTTGAGAAATGCAAATAAGGCAGATTAAGCTAATCTCCACTCAAGAAGGTCTTCCTTGGTGGCCTTCCCTTCTGTGGACCTTTGGAGAAAGGAAGCCTTGTGCAGAGCTCCTGCCAGGGTGGCAAGATGGGTCGGTGTTTACTGAGTGTGTGCCTACAATTCTTTTTTTATTTTTTAATAAAAAATTTTTTTGCCTACAATTCAAAGAGAAGGAAGGATGGGGAATTCCCTGGTGGTTAGGACTCCGTGCTTTCATTGCCAAGGGCGCAGGTTCGATCCCTAGTCTGGGAGCTAGGATCCCACAAGTCACATGGTACGGCCAAAAACAAACAAACAAAAAATCCCAAACAAACAAAGAGAAGGAAGGGTGGACTTACACCGTTTGTCAGAGATTAGAAAGAGTTATGAACAGATTAGCTGAGAACACTTACTGGGTTAATCCTATGTTTCAGTCTGGGTGCTGTCAAGAAAGGAGATCCCAGGGCAGGGAGTTTAGGAGAAGGAATTAATACAGCATGCTAGCTATAAGGGGTTGCAAGAGCTGAAATGGGGTGGGGGGATGTGAGGAGGTAGGGGCGGTGGAGGTAACCCAGAGATTAACAACTTCAGGAAGCTGCTACCACTGCTAGGACTAGAGGAACTGGAAGCTGGAACTATGGGGTAGGGGCTGCCTGAGGCCCCAGGGTTTTGGCTGCCCGGCTGGAGCTGCAGCTGGAAGGGGAAGGCCATGGTGATGGTGGAGAGTGGGGAGGGAGAGGGCAGGGGCTGTGTGGCAGACCTGGGTCCAAGGAGGAAAAGTGGTCACTGCCAGCGGTGCAGCCACTGCCCCAGGCAAGGCTGGAAAGGGGGGTGGCCAGGATGGGCTGGTGTATACCAGCTTCTCCCCTTCATTCACCCGTGCCTCCCACTGGCCCAACCTAATGGAAAGCGAGTGGGAACAGGAACCTGGAAACTTGGCCAGTCCCCAGCAATCTGAGAGGAACAGGGAAAGGGGATGGGCCTGAAAGCAAGTAAGCAGGTAAGCTGCTCACCTGTGCCAGCTATTTCCCGACCACACGAGTCTGGTGTACTGCGGGGGCTCAGCGGCGGTGAGGTGACAAATGCAGTGTTCTGGTGAGTGGGGGCTCCCCCTCCAGGCTTCGGTGGACACAAACCAGTAGATCTACAGATGGCTTACGGGAGTAAAAGCCCGTTTCCCAAGCGTGTCAGACCAATCCTGCTCTCCCTCAGTTTTCCCACAGCCAGCAGCTGCTACAGGGACTCAGATGAGGCAGGAAAAGGATAGTCTTTCAGCTCCCCTCCCTGACCCAAATCTCTTTCACCCCTTCCACCTCTGGGCATGAAAATAAGACAGTATTTATCTTAAAAAAAAAAAAAAAAGGAAAAAAAAAAGACGGTATTGCTACTGGGAGAAAGCTAAATCCCTAAAAATGATTTTTGCATTACACGACTGATCCACCTGATTTTCAGAGTTTGGTTAGCCCAAGTTTACAAATATTTTTCAAAAATCATTGACCTTACAAAGCTTTCATTTGACTTTCAGGTCCATTTCATTGTCCCCTGCCCGACTCCTCAACAACGATGATCAAGTTCGCCCTCTCCCCCTCCAAATATTCTTTCCAAAAATGTTAATTGAGCACCTTCTAAAGACTTGAAGCTAGGGATTTGAAAATAAATGAGACACCTGCCTCTTCCCCCTTCTGTTTCCCTGTAATGATAGTTGGCCCTCCTCCCCAAGCCACCACTGCAGAATCCTCTCTGCAGGTGGTACCTCCCGAAGGAAAATAGCACACAAAGCAAGACACAGAAACCTCAGTGCTGCCACCCCCAGCGCCCCTCCCCCCCCAACCCAGGGACCCTTGGGCACAGTCTTGGAATCCCTGGGCCTTTGCCAAGCAGATTTTGTAAACTCCTCTCCAGGGCAATCCGGAAAATAACATAAACTCCTTAGCAAAACTGTTGGGAGACAGAAAAAACATAAATTAGGCTTGCCGCAAACATTGCTAAATTTAAGATCTCTGTGCCCTTTGGCAAATCTGACAGCTGAGGCAAGAAATCCCTATGCACTAGACAAAGGCTTTGTGGGAAAGAATCAAATGAAATAATCAATTTGAAAGTGGTTTGCAAACTGTAAACTCTAAACGGATAGCGAGGTTTTTCCTTTGGTAATTTTCCTTCCTTGACGGAAACTTTCAAGAAGATTGAAGGGAAAGAGCATGAAAGAACATTACAGTGGGGGCTCTTGCTTTGATATAAGCGGCTGAATGACCACTGGGTGACACATGCCAGTGAGTTCCACGTAGGCCCTAAACACAGGCTCATCACTTAGGTTCATGTCTGAACAGTGACCTGGCCACTTCCCTCGGTAGAGCCCTCCTGAAAGAGATGTGGCCTCAGTGACACCTCCCCTGGGCCCTCACCTCCAAGCCAAGAGACATGACATGCACAGGATCTGTGAGACACAGATTCCTCTCTCTGTGAGACGCAGGCTTCTCCTGGAGGCTTCACAGACTCAAGTTCATACTGTTCTAAGATTCCTTCTTCTCCAGGTGGAGGACAGGACCTGGGAGGAGCAGTGGGGAAGAACGCCTCCCAAATCTAGTCTCTCTCCCCCAGTTTCTCTCTCTCCCAGCTCTTCCCTCTGGCCCAGGAAGTCTGCTGTGGTTTGTTTCTAAATCTGCCCTCATGCCCCCATACTGAAGGAGGACTGTATTTGTTTTTTCACTATATTGGGATTGCTATGTGGAGGTCGGAGTGGAGACTTTTTTCTTTGTTTCTTCTTTGTTGTTTAACTTTGTACAACAAAAAGTATTACTTAAAAAAAAATTATTCCCCTAAGTGTATCATCATTACTTAATGTCTTGGACATCCCAGTCAGGTTCTAAAAAACCACCAATTCTTACTTCCAAATATTTTACTACTACAGCCCATGCCTCAGGGTGATAACATCCAGAGGAGGATAATAACTACAGCAGTCTCTTCAAGTGTTTCAGTTGATTCTCAGTTCTTCTTTGTTCACAGCTCAACGTAGAATTCTTACTTCTTTTGGGTAGAAGGAATTGAATTTAAAAGTCAACAATCTAGGAGCTTCAGAATTATTGCAGCCGCCTACTACCTTCCAGAAATAAGCACCCACGAAGACTACAGACTCTGTTTTCTTTTCCTGCCTCTCTTTTTTAAATTGGGATATAGTTGTTTTACAAAGTTGTGCTTAGTTTCTACTGTACAGCGAAGTGGAGTTCCCTGTGCTATACAGCAGGTTCTTATTCGTTATCTGTTTTATACATATTAGTGTATATATGTCAATCCCAATCTCCCAATTCATCCCACCTCCCACCCCCCAGACTCTGTTATTTATTACCCATATCTGTTCTATTACTAATGTTCTCAAATCAAATTTAAGCTTGAAAACAGCTTTGTTGACCTCCCATCCCCCCTCATTGCACGTTCAACGTGGCCAAGAAGCTGTTTGGATCACCAGACTCTGCTGTCAGTGAGGCTGACTTGATGCCCTGTTTATCCTTCCTTTTATTCTTTAGGAAGCCCTTCCTGACCCCCTTGTTGGGCTAAATGACCCTTCTCCACACTCCAAAGCACCCTCTGTAAAGCTCTCCCTGAGCTTGTGTAACAATCTGTTGAAATTAAGTCTCACTCTCCTTAGTGCCTGGCACAAAACAGGTGATCTGAAATTCCTGATGGAAAGAGGATTGTGTGTGTGGTGAGGCATGGGTGATGAGAAGATGCAGGACACATTTTTCATTTGCCTTTATACGCACTGCTGATTGTAACTTCACCCATGTTCCAAGTCTTCTCTGAATTTTAGAAATTTCTGATCACTGCATTCTCTGTTTGCAGGTTTGGGTGATGCAGGAACACCTTAGAGTCATCCCAGCAATGTTCCCAATCACTGATTTGCTGGATTGCTTCTGTGAACAGCGGCAGGAGACAGCTTGTCCGTTCCTGGTGGAGACAGCAAAACCTGTGGTCGCTCGCGAAGGTGAGGTCTTGTTCCTTAGGACTTTTTCAGGTTCAGGAAATAGAAATCACTTGAACTAATGTAAGTAAAAAGGAGAAAGTCTTGTAAGGACACCAGAGTATCTCATAGAGCAGCCCAGTCATGAAAAGTCAGAGACCAGAAAGCAGTGGGCTCCCAGGAACCCGGGGGTCCCTGTCCCTGGCTCTCCCTCTGCTTCTCTCTGTGCTGCAGGCTGGTCGGCTCTGCTTCTCAGCCCACACGAACAGGAGAACTCTTGAGTTTACAGCGTCTCTCTTCTGTCAGACCAAGGCTGGGGTGCTTACCGTCACCTGCTCTGGGAGACCCAGTTCTGCTCATAGCTCGCCTTTTGTAACTCCCATTTACCAAAGCAGTCACAAAACTCAAAAATAATTCTAACAAGACTGAAAAATCGTAATTATAACAGTTCTGTTGGCTGGTATTTGTGATCCATGGGGCTCGGGACCTCTCTTGCCCAGCTAAGGGAGGTTTGCTTAAATTCCCAGAATCTCTGAGTAAATTCAGATCAACCCACTATTAGTACCAAAAACAAAACCAGGAAACCCAGTGTTACCATTTTTATATAATGTCCTTTTAGAAATTCTCACTAACACATTAAAACATTAAATAGAAGGGACACAAACATCATATTATATATAAATTTAATATATAACTAAGGAGGCTTCACATAGAGAAGGAAGAGTCATTTGATACATTGTGAAGGAATTCCTAATTGACAATTCAGAAGCATATCTTTGGCCCTGACCTCTCTCCATACACCAGATACTAATGTAATTCCATATACGTTCAAGAGTTACACACTTAACAATGAGCTATTGGAGGGAGAAAAACCAGAAGAAAATAAAAGTGAGTATTTATCAAATCTGTATATGGAGGAGAACTTTTTTTTTATTTTTATTTTTTTTGGTTGCGTCAGGTCTTCATTGTGGCACGTGGGCTTCTCTCTAGTTGAGGCTTGCGAGCTCAGTAGTTGCAGCGCGCGGGCTTAGATGCCTCACGGCATGTGGGATCTTAGTTCCCTGACCAGGGATCGAACCCACGTCCCCTGCATCAGAAGGCAGATTCTTTACCACTGAACCACCGGGGAAGTTCCGGAGGAGAAGTCTTTAAGTGTAAATTTTCCAGAAAAAAACACAGAAAAGCAAAAAACACAACTGCAAGTTTTTTAAAAATTAAGTGACCACAGTATAGCTGAAATAAAATCATACAGCAGAACTTAAATAACACAGCCAACAGCAGAGTGGAAAAAGAATTTGCAGCAAACCAGATAGGAGTTAATATCTTTAGTCTGTAAATACTTCATACAGGGGCTTCCCTGGTGGCGTGGATTAAGAATCTGCCTGCCAATGCCGGGGACACGGGTTCGAGCCATGGTCCAGAAGATTCCACATGTTGCGGAGCAATTAAGCCCGTGTGCCACAAGTACTGAGCCTGCGTGCCACAGCTACTGAAGCCCGTGCTCCGCAACAAGAGAAGCCACTGCAATGAGAAGCCCATGCACTGCAACGAAGAGTAGCCCCCGCTCGCTGCAACTAGAGAAAGCTCACGCGCAGCAACGAAGACCCAACACAGCCAAAAATAAATAAATTAAAAAAAAAACTTCATACAAACTGATAGGAAAATTGCTTAAAATCCTGTAGTTTAATAAACAAAGGATGTAAACTGACAACACGAAAGAGGAAGTAAAACTAGTAAACAGGCATTAGAAAATGTGTAGTCTCGCAAGTCAAATTAATACAAATTTAAAATCCAGAACAAGGTCCCATTTTCCACACATTTGCATCTTTTTTTTTTTTAATGGAAATACCCAAAGTTCTTGAGAAGGTAGAAAAAACAATGCCATTTATACAAGGCTGGTAAAATGATCAATTAATACAAACACTTCAGAAAATAATTTGGGGAAATTTACTCCTTGACTCACTATTTCTACTTCCTTGAGTCCAACTCCAACATAGGAACAAATATATTCATTGTAGTGATATTGATAAAGAAGAAAAATTTCAAACAAACATAAGGTTCAATGCTGGTAGAAGCACTTAGCAAATTAGGTCCCATCCTCTCGTGCACACAAACATTTACTGAGCACCTCCTATCAGCCAGGGTCTGTGGAAGGAGCTGAAGAAACAAAGATGGACCAGGCAGATTCTCTGCCCTGCCTTACAGTGTAATGGGGCATATTACATGAGGTGGAGGGGAGAAAAAGTAGGGAGCAGACATTTATTGAGGAGCTATGTGTTTGGCATTTTACATACATCACCACATTTCATCCTCTGAAGTCCTGAGCTGCATAGTCCTTGAGGGAGAGCAGAGAGGAGCCATACAGCGCCACTCATACAGAGCCGGCCTGCGCCGCGTTCTTTCTCTCTTCCGTCTCTGGCCCCTCACTCCCTGCCTCTCAGCTCAGCCCTGGGAACAATGGTGGGTGACAAGTTTTTGCTGGAAGAAGGGGCTTTAGCTTCAGAGCTCCCTGCCAACTAAATCTCTAATCCCCTGCAGGGTAGAAATTCTAGAGCCACCACCAGCTAAGAATTCCAAAGGTTTTTCCTGTTAGCATCCCAAGGAATTGCTCTCTTCCTGCCCTGCCCTCCAGCTTGCATCTCAAACTCCTCAGAGTATTCCGCCAACAAATGTTACTCTTTTGACAGAATCCCATCTCCTGTAAACTAGTTGGGATTATAAATAGCAAAAGAAATTTTCACATACAAAAACGTGCCAGCAAACAGACAAAAACCTTTAATGGCTTTCCAATACCTAATAACAAACTTAGACACTTAACGTTGATTTTTTCCAGACCCTTCGTTACCCACTTTCTCACCACCCGTTACTCCCTAAACATCACCTCCATTCCATCACATTCCATTTAGTGAGCCACTTTGGAGCCAGTGACTCAATTTTAGAAATGAAGATATAAGACAACACAGTAATAAAATCAAACATGCAAATTTAACAGTAAATAATGAAAGTATGCAAATGATATGAAGTGAAGTTAACTGAGTGTTACCCAAGACATGAACAGGGTAATCTTTGTAGCCTGTGTAAGTTGCTACATATGTAATGATTATGAAGAACCCGACAGGATTTCTGGTCCTCACACTTAAACTTAGTTTCAAACTGGTGACACGTATGTTAATGAAATGATTTCATGACTCCCTGGTTCCCAAACCTAAGGGGCCAACAGCGGTCTGATGACCACACTTTAAGGGAAGACCCAACAGGGAATTTCAAAAGTGAAGAGGTCATGGTAGAGTCTAGGGAGGATGTGGGAGATGTTCCAGAAGCCAATAGAACAATGCTCTGACAAGTGGTTTGGTCGCCCTCCTGCTCCCTTGTTTCCCGGAGGGCGTCCCCACCCCAGCCAGGAGAGTTGCAAAGAACAAACTGGAGGAGGGTCTGGGGATGAGGATGAAAAAGAAGTAGAGAAGCCCCAACTTAGAAGAAGAGTTCTGGGCTAGGAAGCAGCAACCCAGGTGACCAAAGGCAGACCTGAAAAGCAGCTAGAACAGAATTGCCTTGGGCTAAACACCCAAGGTGGAGGAAGGACAGGGCTGAAGGTAAAAGGCTTTGGTTTTGGAGTTGGGGTCTGAGGAGGAAGAGACGGGGCTCGTTCCCTGGGGCCTTCAGTGAGGGGTGTCCTGGGTGCCAGCCGAGTCTCACTGGGGACTGTTCGTGGGCATTGGAGAGGCGTGTGGTTACCCCAGGTCAGCGACTCCTGCAAGGAGGTTCTTTCCTCCCAATTCTCTCTCTCCAGCTAGACCCCCCCCCCCCATGGAGCCACAGCCTCCCATCACCCTGAACCAGGTCAAATCCCCCAGGGACACTCGGGCCAAGAAATGTCCCCTGGGCCATGTCAGAATTTGGTTGACACTCTACTGCGTTTGGAGAGGGGCAGGTGGTGGAGAGTCAAGGGAACTGTCATTAGAATATCTTCGTGGTGATGCTTCGTGTGTGTGTGTGTGTGCATGCGCGTGTGTGGCAGGGGGTAGAGGGGGCTTGCCATCAAAACCAGGTCATTGGGCTTCCCTGGTGGCGCAGTGGTTGAGAGTCCGCCTGCCACTGCAGGGGGACCCGGGTTCGTGCCCCGGTCCGGGAAGATCCCACATGCCGCGGAGCGGCTGGGCCCGTGAGCCATGGCCGCTGAGCCTGTGCATCCGGAGCCTGTGCTCCGCAGGGGGAGAGGCCACAACAGTGAGAGGCCCGCGTACCACAAAAAAACAAAAACAGAACAAACCAGGTCATTCATTGATGAGAGTTCTTAAGATATAAGGAATATGTTAAGATCAGCTTAACTCTGTTTTTAAAATTTATTTATTTTATGTATTTATTTTTGGCTGCATTGGGTCTTCGTTGCTGTGCGCGGGCTTTTTCTAGTTGCAGCGAGTGGGGGCTACTCTTCGTTGCGGTGCACGGGTGTCTCATTGCGATGGCTTCTCTTGTTGCGGAGCATGGGGTCTAGGCGCACTGGCTTCAGTAGTTGTGGTGCATGGGCTCAGTAGTTGTGGCTCACGGGCTCTAGAGCGCAGGCTCAGTTGTTGTGGCGCACGGGGTTAGTTGCTCTGCGGCATGTGGGATCTTCCCGGACCAGGGCCCGAACCCGTGTCCCCTCCATTGGCAGGTGGATTCTTAACCACTGCGCCACCGGGGAAGTCCCCAAGATCTGCTTAACTTTTTACGTGGCTGAAGAATGCCCATCTGGTCCGTTGGAAGAGCTTTCTGCCTTAGCTGTTTTAAGGGAAAGGCTTCTGGGAGTGCCCACCGAATGGGGCCATTTGAATTTAGTTGACAAAAGCTTGGGTTCTGGAGCAGAGACGACCTGGGTTCAAATCCCCATTCTACCTCTTATTGATTGTGTCACCCTGGACTCCCTGTGCTCAATTTCCTCATTTGTAATTGAAGCTAATACTGGTGCTACCTCACCAGGTTGTGGTGAGGATTAACTGAGATGTAATGCATGCAGTGGGCAGCGCTTAGATCAGTGCCTAAAGCCTAGTGAGCTCTCAACCAACATCAGCAAGCGTTCGCTCTTCTCAGGTCTCAGCTGTGTCTTTTGCCTGCATTGATTAGGAAAATGTAGATCTAGAACTAGTTAAACCAGCATCGCATTTTGTTGCTAAGCAACCAGCTCTGAGTTCTGCAAAAAGTGCAGCTCCGTGTGCAGTGACCCCCTAGCAATTGAGCCCCAGTCAGGCTGTTGCTAAGCATTGTTTTATGTTACCCAAGGCTCATTTCAAGTGTGGAGGAGGAGGGAGGCATGCACAGACAGCACAGTCCCAAAGCATGAGCAAAACCAGTCTTTCCAGCTGGAGGGGCTCACAATGGGCAAAAAAAGAAAAGAAGTGATGATGTGTGCTTGCACCCACCTGCTGGAGGGAGAGAAATCACCCATATGATTTCCCCTTCTCTGGGGTGAAAGAGATTGTCATACATCTTCAGTGTCGTATCCTCTGTAGAACAACGGAGTATCTCTTATTCACCTCTTGGGGTCTGGGGTTGCATGGCCTGAGTGGGAACCTGGATATGTGTTTCCAAGCTGAGAAGGGGCAGGGCTGGAAACACCTACAGCCATCCACATTCCTCCCCTCTGGGAAGTCAGGGGTCAGGGCCACTGACTTCAGGGACGTGTTCTCCCCTCATTCATTCATTCATTCATTCATCTATATCATTAAACATGTATTGAGTACTAAGTGCCCAAGGTTTGCTAAGCACTGAGAATAAAGCCTAAAGTGGGACAGTTACTCTCCATCTTGTCCTGGTACTTAGTTAAAAAACAAAACAACACACTCTAGCTAGTTTATCAAAGTATTTATTGAAAGAAAATAGGTTGCTTACAGAATCTCCCCAATAGTCAGAGAACTGGGGCTGGTGGCTACGCAGCTAGGCACGTTGCCCAGAACACTGTTCTGAATCACCCCAGATGAGCTCCTGTCATCCCTGCAGTTGGGCTTTGGGCTTTGAGGCTCACGCCGCTGTGCCAGACAGGGACCCTTCTGCCGGGGCCTCAGCTCTGCTGGCTCTAAGAACTCGTTTCCTGCCTCTGTCACATGATGACTTCTGCCTGGCATCTTTTTCTTCACTGAAGTCCGGCATGGATGAGAGTGATTGGTGGAGCCTGGGTCGCATGTGTGAGCCATGATTGCAAGGGAGGCTGGGAAATAAATTTCTGACCTTCCCTTATAAGGTGAGAAATTCCCCAGGCATAAGAAGGGTATTCCAAAGGTGCTGGGATCCTGGGATCCAGGATCCCAGGGCAGCCACAAAGCCTTCAAACATGCATTATCTGTGCCCTCTTAACCTTCACAGTCTTCTGGAGGATTCAGGCAAATACACCAGAGGGGACAGCCCAGAGTGACCAGGGCGGGTACAGGTGCGAGAGGGACCACAGAAGGATCCCCACCCAGCGTCAGGGAAGGCAACCTAGGGCGAGTGATACGATCCTTAACGGATGAGTGTGAGCTTATCAGCAAAGGTGAAGGATGAGGGAAGGAGAACCCTTCTGATTACAGGTGTGACAGGTGCAAGAGCTCAGATTCACTAAGGAGGTCAAGTTCAGGGAAGGAGAGACATTCTGGGTGGCTGGAGAAAGGATGGGGCTGATGTAGGCAAAAGTGCGAGAAACACTGCTCTAAATAATATGCTTGTGTCACCTGCTTTTTGCATTTTAATTTTAGGCATTACATACTGACTTCTCACGATAAGAAAAAAAAGGCAGGTTCCCATCCCCCCTCTTATTCTAATATTGTGTATTGTAATTTTGGATAGATCACAGTCAGTATTTACATTTACCTAACTATGTGAATGCTCTTCACGGCCGAGCGAGCAGCATTCTACTGCTGTTTTCCCTTTTCTGCACACGTCTTTGTTTCACGTTACTGTACAACTGTTGCTTTCTTCCAGTTGCTCAGTTTTCTCCCTACTCAACAGTTAGTTATTTACCCTCAGACTCTCCCCCAGCAGTGTTAATATCCTCTCAATCCGTTCAGTCACTTTAAGTATTCCACCAATTTCATCTTTTTTTTTCACATCTTTATTGGAATATAATTGCGTTACAATGTTGTGTTAGTTTCTGCTGTACAACAAAGTGAATCAGTTATACGTATACATATATCCCCATATCTCCTCCCTCTTGCGTCTCCCTCCCAGAATGCTGGCTTGGCTGCCAGCATTTTGGGAACTGAGTGGAGAAAAAATGGTGTGTGTGTGTGTGTGTGTGTGTGTGTGTGTGTGTGTG